CTTAAGATTTCCAGTCTACTAGGGAAGTAAAGATGAAAAAGATAAAAAGAGTTATTTCTCAAGAATGCCCTCTCAGTTATTTTCTGTTGATATAACACTCAGCAGACGATTCTCTGTAGCAAAGTGCTGCCTTCTTCACTCCTGTCCACTTTTCCAGTTATAGCAATACTGCATCCAAACTCCTGCTTCACTTCTCAGCTAAACCTGCACCTAGGTATCAGCAGTAAGTATAATTAAAAGAACAGGCAAATGTGTTGACTCTCTTCTCTTCGACATTTCTTTTTCAAACCTCTCTTGATAGTTTCCTCCCAGAAAGAGAGCGAGGAGTGTGTGCAAACACTTGTTCTCCACATCAAGCCTGACTGAACAATTTCTCTGCTATTCTGAGTTTCTGGTGAACTGAAAATTACCAGCTGTACTGAATTGTGACAAACACTGTGTATGTGTGTCTCTGTGCGTGGAAGAAAATATATAAACAGAAATTATCATATCTAATAGCAGCAAAATAGTTTTCACATTTATGACCCAATCTACCATTTTAATTCTATTAAATATAAATGTAGCTTTAATTTCTAACTAAAGCTTATTTCTTCAAGCCCTCACAGAAGAGCACATCAAGCCCTCATATATAGAGCATATGCAGAACAAGAATTTTCTAATGTCTTTCCTGGTTGAGGCATAGTCATTGAATAGCACAGCAACCACGTAAATGCAGTCATCATTGCACAGATTTAAAAAAGAAAATGAGATTGCACTAGGAAAGAAGACAGGTATTTTAGAGGTGTGCAACATCCACTTCATACTTCAGGATGGCTGATCCACATCCAGATATACTCAAAGCTAATCAATATCAAGCTGACTTGCAATGACAATAGAAACTCATTGAACTGCAGTAACACATTTGCCACCCTTTAATGCCTATATTCTTAGCATTAACATGGTAACAATCTAAGCTGTCTGTGTGTGTGCCACGTCACTCCCTCCATGTCAAAATAAACCACAGTAGCTATATAAAAAGTGTGGTCACAACCCAGCTAGCTAAATTCTTGCCAAAAATTTACTTCAATAGCTGTCTACAGAGTCTGCCAGATTACTGTCGGCCAACTCATACCATGTGTGCCTTTTAGGGTCATGGCTTTAAAAGAACAGCAGAATTGCTAAAATCCATCCATCTTTTCAGCTGGAACGCTCTCCATCCCTCGTGAATTATAGTCACACCTAACAGAAAGGAAATAGACAAAAGCCATCTGCACAGAGCACACCTAGGAGAAAGTAAATAATGCTTTCAGACTCTGAATGGGAGCACTTCATGTTGGCAAAATTGGACTACCCAGACTGAGATGCATAGTTGCATCCTAAAAATAACGTTTTTTAAATCACTTTCTATGAATTGCACTTACCTGAGAACCTGGAGGACAACAATTCTTCCTGGGTATTCAGTTAATAACTGAAACCCATACCTGATTTTCTCTAAGGACACTGTAAAAAATGCCTCTTTTCTGAACATCATGGTCTGGCCAATCTGTTCCCTTGACATGACTGCTCTGGCAGAAGGCATCTTCACAGAACCTTTTCAATCAAATATGGTCCCTCTTTCTCTAAAAGTTTGCAGTTCTGGAGAGGGATATGAGCAAGAACAGCAGAATTTAAAAGTCAAAGGCATGACTTTAATGTCATCATAATCATGACTATTTAACCACTACATCTGCACAGAAAAGCACTACATTGTAAGTGCAGCAAGGCCACTACACCTGACAGGTGATCTGTGCTATTTGGGCACAGCAGCATTGCAGTGAGACTGTGGGAAATGAGACCCCTCCAATATTTAAGTGCGGAAACTGGGGGTTTTTATTTTACCCAGCAGAGCTGGCAGGGACACAGACCAACACTATGCTTACGGGTCCAGCAGACTGCAGGAGAGGTGGATTGCCACAGAATTCATTCTGGTGGATTTAAGGGATACAGTCCTTAGGTCTCTTTCACAAACTCAGAATTTCAGGATTATGGGCTAGAAGGAAGTCACTGATGAGCTAAAAAATGAGACAACCTCTGATTGCCCCCACTGCCACTGCTGTTTGTTCTTCTCTGAGTATTTGCCATATCCACGCTTGCATGAAGATTTTCATGCAATGTCTGTGTGCCCAGGATTACCCTTATTCACATGGCATGAAGGTACAGTGCTCTGATCTGGCAAGATGAAGGGCAAACACTGCAGACCTGCATTTTGTGCAGAATGGATAAAGTGAGATAAGCTAAAGAAGATGCAAGTTGAAAAAGGAAAAGAAAACAATTGTCCAGAAGGATCAGAAAGAAAAGGAATAACAAGGGATGGCAGAGAAAAGAAGGACCAAGAGCGGACAAAGAGAAGCAGCTGTAAAAGAAGTAAAAGCAGATGAAAACACCTTGGGAGACTCAAATACCCAGCTCCAGAGATCTGGGATGTGACTGAACATGAGCTCATTTCACAGTAAACTCCAACAGCAGGAAACTCTGCATGCCCACGTGCAAGGGGAATGGTGGTGACACTGAAGTCAGCGGTGGCACTAACTTTACTCACCCTCTGGGAGATGGGAGATGGTACAAGGCAAGGCGATGCAAACAGCTTCAGCAGAACACTTCCAGGAGAAGAGAAAGTGACTCGTAGAAAACTCCTCCATTCTCCATCTTTCGTCCATGAAGATTGATGAAGTTCTCTGCAACTCTGTCCTCGTCTTTACAGTGAAAGAATCCTGCTAGCTTTCTCATAATGGCAGAAATAATTAAAAAGAGGATCAACTTCAGAAGAACATAAACACACACCAAAAGTCTGTCTCTTTAATGAAATCCCCTCCATACTTCACTGGCAGGCATTCTGCTAATCTAATACCTGTTAATTCTATTTCTAATTAGGGCTATAGCTCACCAGAGGCTGTTTTATACTTAATTTGTTGGGGTTTTATTATATGGCTCAACAGTCAGCCAACCACTGTATGCATCATGTGATCCTGGTTGAGATCTTTCAGGCATTACTGCACACTGAGGCCCTTGGAGAGAACGTGCCACTACAATTTGTGAGTCACGCGTTCCTGCTCTGCCTAGGTCTTGTCATGTGTGTGCTTGTCAGGATTCATCTCCATCTCCATTACCCCAGGGGCAGAAGTCATAGTTTGTTTCTGCTCACTTGTCTGATTTTTAGCAGATCATATTCCCATCTTCAGAACCTTAAGCAAGTGCCATCTTTGTAGAATTTAAGGTGGAATTCTAAGCGGTGATTTAATTCAACTCAAACACATCTTCTAGTTGACAGGAAATATCCTTAGTTCAACCATTTTCCAAGGCTGATGTAGACTGCTGTATAAAGAAAAATAATTAGGGTAAAAGCATTCTTCACTGTTACCAAAATGAAAACTAATTTTCTTAGGTGTTTTTCTTGTAATTCTGTCATTTTAAAAGTACTTTCTTTTAGGAGTTTGAAATGAAGATCTGAGGCAAATTTTAATTGTTTGAAACACATATCTGAGAGACATATCTTCATTAATCCAATTTTTGCCGAAAGGATTGCAATCAAGATATGAACCAGTTAAAGAATTAGCTGGAAAATTACAAGGAGAAAAATAAGAGATCACAGAGAAACAAAGTCTATGGGGCTTTATTGATTGGAACAGAATATAGGCCAATGAAGAAACATTTTATTAAGCCACTGGAAGCCAGCTCAGGGGACTGACCAAACTTTGATTTGCCTCTAGAACATCAGCTGCCAGGTAAATAAGGATATTAGTACATCATTGACTCCAAACTGGTGAGCAAAGGAGGTCCCCAACAGCTGTTAAATAGTAAACTTCATCCTCCATCTCTGTGGGTGCCAGGAAGGATGACACTTAAAAGTTGTTCAGTCACACACTGAGATTGATGGTAGCACTTGTTATGTCACCCTAAAAAACATATTGGTTCTAGAGAACCACTGTCCTTATCTGAATACACAATGGGCTTGACAGTCACACAAGCAATTCCCATGACTGGAAATTGCAGATCTTACAGAAACAGCATAATCATATCTCCAGATATCAGAAAATAACCTCAGAAAAATTCTCCTTTCTCCACTGTCACCTGTCAGGGTTTTACTGGAAGAGGTGGAGAGTACAAACCAAGATAACGCTGGCTGTTGTGGAAAACCTTCAGAAACAATACAATTAATAACAATAATAAATAAAATAATAAAGAATTTATAAATCCATATAAAGATAAATAACTAAGTCAGCCCATCTATCCATTCCTCTAGTAACTTTATAGATGTGACCTATCTCCAGCCTGCTCAAAAGAGCAGTTGCTCTGGATCTGGTTTTGTCTACAGAAGCATGGTTAGCCAGATGATCTTGTGTGGTATTTCAGTGGGAAAACTACGGAAATCAGAGCTCCTAGATTGGGAAGATCATGGCTAAGTGAAACAATAAAGGAAGCTGGGCTTCTACCCACTGTGTGTGTAGCTGAACAAGTCACAGCTGGCAATTCAGAAGTGCAGTCAAGCTACCTCCATGAGCTGTGGAAGATTAATTGTTCCAGATAGATCTCTAGAAGGGAAGACCTTGCATGGAAGGATAAAATAGAGAGGATAGATTTGCACAATGCAAATTGAAATGATGCATATTGGTGTTACCCTGTGCTAGGCAAGCATAATAAACTTCTCTGAAAGACAATGAACACAGAATCATAGAATCATAAATGGCCTGGGTTAGAAGGGACATTAAATGTCATCTAGTTTCAAGGCCTCTGCCATGGGCAGGGGACACTTTCCACAAGACCAGGTTGCTCAGAGTTCCATCTAACCTGGCCTTGAACACTTCCTGGGATGGGGCATCTACAATTTCTCTGGGCAACCTGTTCCAGTGCCTCACCACCCTCAGGGCAACAAATTTCTTCCTAAGATCTAATCTAACCTACTCTCTTTCAGTTTGAAACGATTCCCCCTTGTCCTGCCACTACATGCTCATGTAAAAAGAGGTCCCTCTCCATCTTTCTTCTAGGCTCCCTTCAGGTACTGGAAGGCTGAAATTAGCTTGCCCCAAAGCATAGGAATGATGGTCATGTCCATCTGGAGTCTTCAGACAGAACAACTTGGATTCTTGACCAGTAAGTCTCTAGCCCAGGGTCTGCTGGAGATAGGAAGGAAGGATGTAACAAGGGAGGAGTCACTCCAGAAATGACCAGTTCCTTACTTCTTCTGCAGGATCTGCTGCTGGCTCATCAGATAAAAAGTGCTAGGCTGGACAGAACTTCTCCTCACACAGAGCAGCTCTTCTGCTCTCTGCTCATCTGTCACCAGTGTTCCTTCCTGCTTTCAGCCCTGTTTCCATGCAGTGCTACCATCCCTGGACTCCTTAAGAAGGATTGCAAGCATCAAGGGACATTACTGCTGATGCGATCATCAATGACTGCTGCTGGAAATCCATGCAGAAATATGTGCTGTGCACAGGGAAGCAGGCAGCAACAACACCCAGCTCTCCTTCCCTCTTTCCTTTCCTCCCCTTGTAATTGAAATTCAGGGACTGTAAGTCCCACTATCTCCTGTCAGGATAGTTCCATTCCTTGGGGAAGGGGTTAGCAATAGCAAGCCATGCCTTAGCAGCAGTGTGCCATCCCACATGTGTAAAGACCAGTACATGCAGGTGTACTCTGATTTTAGCCAAGATTTTTTTGGATGTGAGTCCAAAAATGAGGAATGAGGGATAAGAGCAAATCCATGTGCACAGGTGACCAAAATAGCAATGTTTTGCTTGATCTAATTTTGAGGCAAATTTTCCTCACAGAAGGGACAGAGAAGTCAGACTGTGGAAACACCCCAATCCATTTAAGACAAGCCACAGCTGTGTACCTTTGAGGAGTGAGGCTTCCTGTAGTCTCAAGCATTTTGTAGTGACATCTATATGCAAATCATCAGGCCAGGTCTGACAGCAGTAGCCAAACACGTTCTCATGATCAGCAGGCAAGTCCATAGTGCCAGGGCAGGTCCCATGTCAGGCTAGGAGCAGGGGCCATGGCCAGGCATGACTGAAACACAATTGGAGCTGGAGCAGAGCTCAGCAGAGACTGAGATGCAGTGGAGGCCCTGAGCAGAACATTTGGGTTGAGGCCCTATGGGAGTTTGAAGAGAGCAGCTAAGTTTCATTAATGCACTTAGGACCCTGACACAATTTTTCTAGGATATATGCAACAGGAGAGGTGAAAAAGTACCAAGGAACTTTGGACTGAGCCAAATATATTTATTTACTATTAGATATTTGTCTGTTGTTAGATATTTATTGTTGTTAGATGTTTATTATTGCTGTTAGTTACTTACTATTGTTATATATTTAGCTGTTATTAAATACCTACAATTAGTAGATGTTTAGAATGGAGACTCAACAAAGTAAAGGCCTTGTCAAGCCTCTAAAGGAAGGAAATGATGTCTTAATCTTTAGCTTTCATATTTTTTAGATTCTGTACTGCCTTAGTGTATGACTCTGAACTTCATATAAAGCGTTAGCAAGTTCTCTTCACAGGGCAGTCAGACAAAACAATCCTTTTCCAGCCTGACAACAAAGGACACCATTGCAGCTTCAGGCCCAAAAGGTACAAATAACAGTAAACTGCTGGGAGCAGCGTGGGAGGATGGGACTTCATAACCTGAAGCTGTAATTGGACAATTAACCCCAATATGTAAATGGACCAAAACTTATAAAAGTGTGAAAACTTGTGACTGGTTGTCCACCTTGGGCAGAGCCATGGCTGGACTCTTGTACTGCCCAAGGTGTATCCTTTAAAGGCCTTTTAATAAATACCTACTTTAGTCCTTTAACTCTGTCTAACCTCTATTCCAGGTCAGCCTCTTTAGGCAACAATTCACTCCACAAAATAAGAAGCCCCAGCTGTTCCAGTGTGGTCCATGCCACAGGAGTGTCAGACAGAGTCAGATGTGTCCTGTCTCATTGTTTTGCCCAGAACACTTGAAAAACAAGGAAGTAATGGTTAGCACCAGTCTGCAGTGACCATGCCCAAGAGAAGAGGCCCAAGAGAAGAGGCAGCCACTCAATGTGACTTTTGCTTTCCTGACGCCCAGAAAAGCCAGCAAGAAACAAACTCTAAAGGGAGGTTAGGAGGAATATTAAAGGCATTCAGTTGCAATAGACTTTTAAAACAATCATGATAAAATTTAGCACAAAGTACTACTTTTTTAGTATTTTCATAATACATGGTTTATATGCAAAATTACAGAGACCTACCTTTGGATGTCTCCGCTTTTTCTGTTTTCAAATTCACTCACAGGATTCTGATCATCACTTTTTTTTAACTGAGTTTCTTCACAAGAATCAGATCTCATGGAAAGGAAGGAAGGAAGTGGCGGAAGGAAGGAAGTGGCGGAAGGAAGTGGCGGAAGTGGCGGAAATGGCGGAAGTGGCGGAAGTGGCGGAAGGAAG